CTGCTGAATGAATACTAGTCTCTTTTGTTGATGTTCGAGTGTGTGAACGCTGCTGTAAGTCTGTGAACTGCGTGTCAAATTTCTGGGTCATAACATAGTATTATACTTTTCAATCAATATCAATAGTACTAAAATATAAAATACGGTACTTCAGGTTGTCTTCAAAACACAATTGGAAGCCACTATTCAGTGTGACTCAATACAAGATCCCCTAGGTCAAAGCCTCACCAATTGGATGATAATCTCTGAAAGGTTTATCTATACACCATTATCCAAATTCTTTTGCACCACCCAAAATAATGCATAGGCATAGATGATCCTAATAATTCGATTAAAGGACCTGAATTTCCATAATGGGTGTAAATGCATAAAATAAAGGTAAGAAAAATTGGACATCCAACACTTCTCTGCTTTAATCAATAACGCTGCTAATATCATTAAGGAAAAAGGAACACAACAGTTTGTCCAAAGTAACATTAAATAGAAACGGATCCCTAGTAAATAGTAAAAGAATACAGCTTTACCAATATGAGAAAGAAAAGTGCTATGGATATGGAGATATTGGTAACATAAATTACACACTAAAAGTGTTGCTAAGATGCAATACTCACTCTACTAAACTTGATATTAGGAATTCCATCTTTAAATTCTATCTCTCCCAAGGCATCTTCCAAATCCTGAATCACAAAATTTACCACAACACTCAGACACAGCTGACAACCTCATTAAAAGATCCACATAAAGCAAGCACTGAGAAGATAAATACATCTAAACCAGAAGAAGCAGATGATGATAATACTCAACAGATCATGCTTTCCTACTATCCAATTATTGAATAATTACATCAATATTGAACAGGTCATAGTTTCCTGTTATCAAGTTATTGAATATTTTACATAATGCAACAAAAAAAATTACTGATATAGTTGTGGAGGATAAAACTTAAGAAAATTAGAGAAGTACCATAGCCACACGTTGTAGATTAGTCCCTGGCCTTGTAACATCCATTTCTGTCAAAGAATTGACAAGTGCAGCCCAGTCGCCATTTACGATGTGTACAATAGATGCAAGCATAGCAAATTGATGTTTCTTTTCCATCCGACAAAGCAAACCAAAATCCAGAAACCTGTCAGGGACATAACAGAGAGAAGTAAACAATAGCTAGTAAGTAGAAATTCTGGTTTTGTATATTAACTTTTACATAGAGTTATCAAAAGCAAAACCAACTTTAAGAGAAACAGTGGAAATTGCAGCTGATTATCTTTAGGATAAGAAGGCAGGAAAGAAATGTACCCAATTTGTCCTGTAGCCATGTAACGCAAGTTCCCAGGATGTGGATCAGCATGTAATAAGCCTGTTTCAAGGAGTTGAACAAGTGTTGCTTCCACTCCTTTGTCAACCTTGAATCATAATGCAGGGGTTTTTCAACTTAAAAATTACAATTATAAAAAGAAACAAAGAGCAATACCTTTTCTAATATCAAGACACAGAAGACTACATAAATCAATTTAGAATACTTTTCTTATCCAGAAACTCTAGATTCCTACAAGGGTTGCATTTGGATTGTGTGAGCAGAATTGGATTTGGATACCATTTCTGCCTTGATTCCATAGATTTAAAATGATTAGTCCTCTCATGTCATTTCCAATTCCTCTAAAATACAGAATTTAGTGGCCAGAAAGCCCAATTTTTCTGAATTCCATAATGCTGCAAAATGGCCCAAATACAGAATATGAAATTTGTGGAATTGATGGTTCCAACTCCATTGTTAAATTCAAATCAAACCAAGCAACCAATTTCATAACATATGAAACAAATAAAAAAAATCATAATTCATGCAACCTTTTCCCCTAAATAACCAGAAAGCTTTAGGGGGGAAAACCTGAAGATATCTTCATCTATTGTATGTTCCTTTCGTCCTTGCCAGCTGAGGTCATAGACACTCTTGAGAAAGTGATTTCCTAAAGGACTATCCTAACGAAGAGAAGAAGTTTCACATCGTAAAATGGGATCCGATTGTTCTTGGGCCTTGACAAGTTATGAGCAAAAACTTGTTTACCAAGTGGTTATGGTGATTTGGGACCAATATTGCTTCTTTGTGGGTCTAGTCCCTTGGTTTTAGATGCCACGTGAGAAATTGGGAAGTTGACTTTTTATTAACCTGCTGACCACAATCCAATGTTCCAAAATTAGGAAAGATCATAATGCTAAAAGAATTTGCAGGCTGCCTAGGTCAGCAATCTTCTTAATTAAACCTTGCTTTCAAGAATATTCTGGTGTAAATGACAATAGATTCCTGCAGCATTAGAGTTGGTTACTCCAAATCCTAGCAAAAGTTTGTTGCTTCGTGTCAAATGCATAATAGTACAGTTTTTGAGAGTTAGAAGGGCTCAGAAATTCAATTTGCTGGAAAATTTAAAGGACAATTTCATGTTGGTCTTCCATCTTATCAGATTTCATGGAGGTTTAATCATATTTGCAATTTTTAGTATAATATTTGGATAACTCATCATTTGTTAAGGTGTACATTCATCATATATGAGCCATACTGCCACACTTTTATCTTCTTGTAAAGGAGCCTTTTTCCCTCACGTTCTTTAATACAATTTTTACTTTAACTATAAACAGAAAAAAAATAAAATAAAACTTTTTGCAATTCTAATCAGATTCCTGGACTTTCTTGGCTCAACTAGAGCCCCTACACCCACATCTCCAAAAAGAGGCCATGTGCAAAAGTTCCAGCAATAAAGAGAACAAGATTCTTGTAACAATCAACCATTACTTACCAGATCAAGAAGACGTTTTCGAGATTCAATTTTCTGTCTATCCAAATACCCAGGGCCATCATCAGTTGATATCTTGGCAGATAAAGAAAGTAAACTGTTTGGATTTTCACCAACCACCCACTGCATGGTCAGAACTCTCTTTCGGGTCAAGTGGTTATATACTTTTGGAACAAACATGAAAGGAAAGGAGGAATGAGCTTCCTGCAGAGAGCAGAAACAAATGAGGCATGAATTAAAATGGCATGTAATCAAGTATTATGTTGTTATTTACCTTTGCATCATCAGGTTATACCAGAAAGCAATTCAAACCTGCTTAACCAGATATTAGTGGCACAAAGAAAGGACATACATAACAAGGGTCCCATGCATGATGTATCCATACCAATATATCTTTCCTGCCATTTTGAGAGGGGGGAGGGATAATCATGATAAGAAAAACCTCACATTTCAACATTTCTTCCTTTTGGTACATGAGGAAAATAGTTTCTCAAAGAAGGCATATGGTTTCAAGTATGGTATTTTTTGTTGTTTCTAGGAACATTTTGGAAATAAAGGAACAGTTCATTTCTGAAGACAAACATCATTCAAGAAGGAAGCCGGTTGCTGATATTTTAAGGATGGGTTATGGTCTTCTTTGGGTCAAGATTATGGGATAACTGAATTGTAAAAGAGATGTGATGCATGTTTTTTACATTTTTTATGCTATTAGGTGAAATTTCATCACCATTGGATTGTAATCTTTTTCTTTTTCAATGAAAATTGTACCTTTGCTATCAAAAAACAGTAGCAAATTTGTTGATCACTTAAGTTAAATCATTTATCTTTTATATATTTCTGGCAACTTTTTCTCTGTACAGCCATTAAAGGTCATATGGTTAATACTAAGTTTCAATTTTCAAACGAGGAAAAGGAAAATAAAACATAACCTATAGTAGCAAAAGTAAGGGGAAAGAAGGTAATCCGCAATTCTTCATTCCCGAAAAGGTGTCATGTCATAGACGCTACAATATGTGACAGTTAATTAATGATTAAGTTGTGAAACACACCTGCAGTAAATCAGAAAATATAGAAAAAAAAATAAAGAAAGAAGAATGGAAGGTTTCAGCAAAAGCTTGTGGTAGAAGAAGAGATAGGAAGAGAGAAGAGAAGATGTTCGATCTCTTCTCTAGTCCCCTCAAGATATCTTTTATAATGTAAAATTGAGTACAATTCCTTAGATGCCCTTAATAGGGCGGCCAGCACTAAAACTAATAAAGTAAACAAAAAGAAATAAAACCACTAAGGCCCATTCGGCCCATTCTCACTACACTCCCCCTCAAGCTGAGCATAGATGTCAATCATGCTCAGCTTGCTTACTAATGTTAAAGCTTTGCCTTTGGAATTCCCTTAGTTAAGAAATCTGCTAGCTGCTCTTTTGATGCAATGAAGGAAAGGCACACCTCTCCTAAGGCCACCCTCTCCCGTATAAAGTGTTTGTTTACCTCAATGTGCTTAGTTCTATCATGCTAAATCGGGTTGTGAGCAATGTTAATAGCAACCTGGTTATCACTATATAGCACCAGTGGCTTGTCACATGAGACATCCATCTCATCAAAGAGAGATCTAAGCCACAACAACTAAGAAACCCCATGGGCCACAGCCCTACATTCTGCTTCAGCTGAAGAACTAGCAGCCATTGTCTGCTTTTTATTCCTCCATGAAACAATATTCCTAGCTACCATAGCACAATAACTTGATGTAGACCTCCTATCATCAACATTGCCTGCCCAATCAACAATACCCTTTCTGTTGCAGCCATATGTGTGTCTCAAGGAGCATGCATGAACTGGCTTATTACACTAACAACATATGAAATGTTTGGATGAGTCATACAAAGATAAAGAAGTTACTCCAACAATCTCTGAAACACTCCCCTGTCAACTAAAAGCTCTCCCTCACCAGCTGAAAGTTTATGATTCACATCAATAGTGGTGGAGGCAAGTTTAACACCAATTTTTTTTATCAATAACAATAACTTTATTAATGATGCAAAGCTTTGTGAAACTTTAATTACAATAGGGGGAGGTAAAATGTCTTAACTCCCTACCAATAGGTTTAACACCAAGTTTCCCAATCTCAGTAAGAAGATCCAACACATATTTTCGTTGAGAAATGAAGACACCTTAGATCTAGCAACCTCAATGCCCAGAAAATATCGCAACTCCTCTAATCTTTGATCTCAAATTCAGAATTAAGGAACTTCTTGTGTATCACTACCAGTAACAACAATATCATCCATATAAACAATAAGAAATGTGACCAAAGTATTTCTCCTCTTAACAAAGAGGGTATGATTTGATTGAGTCTGGGCATATCCAAACTAAACAAAAGCAGCCCCAAACCTGTCAAACTAAGCACGTGGAGATTGCTTCAAACCATAAAGTGACTTCTTCAATTTCCACACCTTGCCTTGCATCTCCTTACCATACAAACCAGGGGGGAGAGATATATACTTCTTTAGTGAGGTCACCACTCAAGAATGCATTCTTAACATCAAATTGATAAAGGGGCCAATCATAGCTCACTTCCAAAGATAAAAGAACCCTCACAGAAGCCATTTTAGCAACTGGAGAAAAGGTCTTAGTGTAATCTACCCCATACACCTGGGTATATCCCTTGGCAACAAGATGTGCCTTATATTTCTCAATCGACTCATCAAAATGATACTTGATAGTGTAAACCCACTTACACCCAACAGGTTCCTTCCTAGCTAGCAAATCAACAATGTCCTAGGTATTATTTTTATAGAGTGCTTCTATTTTAGCTCTCATAGCATCCTTTCATTCTGGTTTGGCTAGGGCTTCGGTTACTGACTTTGGGATGGGTTGAGAGGAAATGGAGGCTAGAAAGGAATAGTAGGCAAGGACAACATGCTATAAGAAAGATGTTTGGAAATAAAATGAGTTGTACATTTCTGCTTACCTTTTTTCACAACAATGGGAAGGTCAAGGTCTGGAAACATGGGTGTTGGTGGTAGAGATGTCAGACATGTCCTCTCTTCAGTGGTCGAGAGTGCTTGAGACTCAACTGGAGATGCGGGAACAACTTGTGTCTCCCTTAGTCTTTGCCACTGGTACCACCTCTAGAGAATAGGATGAGTGGTAAAAATAGGAGGACTAGCAGGAGGAGGGGGAGGAACAGGAATAGGAGATCTAGAAAAAGAAGAACCCTCCAATGGGAATGGGAGTAATTGTGGAAGGCTCAACACAAGACTCAACCGGAGTTAGCAAAGGGATGAAGAAAACAATTCAGAACTCTTCCCCTCAGAAGAATGACTATAAAAGGAAACTGACTATACAAAGGTGACATCCATGGAAACAAATCGAGATCCACTAATGGAATCAAAACAACAGTATACTTTCTATGTGGAGGCATAACCAAGGAAAATACACTTCCAAGCCTTGGGTTCAAACTTATATCTCTTGGAACTGGGAATGTGGCCATAGCATGTACAACCCAAGACACACAGAGGAATGGAGAAGACCTCAACATTGGGAAAGAGGACACCAAAAGGAGACTTTAACCCCAAGACACGGGAAGGCATACGATTAACAAGACAAGTGGTTGTTAAAATTACATCACTCCAAAATTTTACAGGAACACGGGTAGAAAAAAGAATACTCTTTGCAACTTCCACAATATGTCTATTTTTCCTCTCCGTTACTCCATTTTGTTGTGGAGTACGGGCACAAGAATTTTGATGAACCCTAAATTTTTCAAGATAGGAGGTAAGGTCCTCAAAATATTTCTTAGTATTGTCTGATTGGAATATTTTTTATGCGAGTATCAAATTGAGTGAGGATGAAATATTTCTAGACACCCATACAAGTAAATGGTAAGGCCCCACACATCAGGGTGAACAATGTTAAAAGGAATAGTCAATCTTTTATTGCTTGTAGGATAAGCATTCTTAYAATGCTTTGAGAACTCACAAGACTCACAATGTAGACTCGACAGACTTATTCCTTTAAATAATTTTGGAAACAATTAACTTAATGAAGAAAAAAGATAAATGACCCAACGATAATGACATAACATGACACGACTAGTGGGCTTGGAAACAAAAGCAGTTCCTTGAGGTTGTACTTGGCTCTGCTCAGGTATGTCTAACAGATATATCCCATTCGCCTCATGGCCACTCCCAATCACCTTCTGAGAATCCATGTCTTGAAAAACACAATACGAAAGATAAAAGGTCACACTGCAATTTAAAGATTTAGTTAAATTACTAACTGAAAACAAATTGGTATTAAGTTTAGGCACGTGAAAAACAGATGATAAGGTCAGGGCATGTGATGTCTTGATGTTTCCCTTTCCTGTGATAAGGGCAAGAGAGTCATTAGCAAGGGATATTTTGTCTCAGCCAGAAAGGAGTTGGTAAGAGATGGACATGTGTGAAACACTAGTCATGTGGTCAGAGGTACCAGAATAAATTACCCAAGGGGTTTTATGAGTACTTGAGATAGAAGCATGATTTGCAATGGAACAAATACTTGAGTGTGTATATGCAGAGAAAGGAACGGTATATGATGAAGTAGATGTTGTAGCAGTAGACTCCAAGTGATTGATTATTTGACTATATTTCTCATACTCAGCCCTGGATGCTGCAAATTGTCCTCCCACCAACTTCTCACCACTTTGGCTATGTCCCTGTTCACTCTGTGAGGAGGTGGCTACATTTGCATTTCCACCAACTTTTCCATTCTCAAACCTCTTTCCACTGTTTTCTTTCTTGAGTCTGGCAGGAATGAGCTCTAGGTGCAACTTCCGACAGGTGTCTTTAGTGTGTTTTTAGTGTGATTAGGCTTCTTGCAGTACTCACAGATAACATCTTTCTTCCTAGTGTTAACCTTTGGCTTCATCCCAGCATTAGCATAGTGATCAACTTGCGGCTCTACAAACTGAACCTGTCTTCTGCTCTCCTCACTACTCACCATAGCATAAGCCTAAGACAAAGTCACCTCATCCTTTGCCAAAACATTCTGCCTCACAATATCATACTCTGGGTTGAGTTCGGTGAGGAACTCAAAGACCTGATTTCTCTCCACCAACTTCCTATGTGTTTCTTCATCCTTTGTATAACCCCAAACAACAGTCTCCATCAAATCAATCTCCTGCCAAAGAGATTTCAACATGGAGAAGTAGATAGCTAAAGGTTGCATAGAGTTTACTAACCAACCCACTACTTTGTACTTTTCCTACATCCACCTTTCATAAGTAGGGTCATCCTCCGATTTCTTCTTGCTCTCGGTAATGTACCCCCACTTCTCTCTACTACACACATGTATTTTAATTGACTGAGACCAAGCTAAATAATTGGTTCCATCAGCCGATCAGTTCTCCATACACACTATGTATGGGCTAAGAAAGAAAAAAGATGTTGAAGGTGAGAACCCGCTCTGGCACCAAGCTGTGAAGCACACCTGCAGTAAATCACAAAATATAGAAAAAGAAAAGAAAGAAAGATGAATGGAAGGTTTCAGCAAAAGCTTGCGGAAGAAGAAGAGGAAGGAAAAGGGAAGAGAAGATGTTCGATCTGTTCTCAAGCCCCCTCAAGATATCTTTTATTTCTTAATGTAAAACTGAGTACAATTTCTTAGATGCCCTTAATAGGCAGCCAACACTAAAGAACTAATAAAATAAACAAAAAGAGGTCCATAACTAAAAGAACATAAACTTAACAGAAATAAAACCACTAAGGCCCATTCAACCCATTCTCACTACAGATTATATCATTAAAATGATAAAAATGAGACGGGGATAGGGATGAGAAGACCCACATATGGCAATAGAGTTGAAGCTAACCATTCAAAACTTTCCTGCCCTCCCCATACAAAGTAGAACCAAAAGAAAATCCAAACATAATATACCTTGAAAAAAGAAGCATTTGCAGCCTCTAAAGTGTAATCCAATTCTCCAACCAAACCTTTCCCGAGCTCATCAGCATAAAGGCGAAGGTCGCTCTTCCTTTTTGCCACCTTTTGCACTAGCCCTAGCTGAAAGAGTAAATTATGATTTATCTCAGACTAATCAGACAGTATATTTATAGATAGAGAGGACATAGTTATAAAACTGAGATATGGCTCAAACAAACCCCAAGCCGAAGTATATAAATATCCCGCACAACAACATGACGCAGGTTGGGACGCTGAACTTTTACAGCAACACTATCCCCATCAAGAGTAGTCCCCCGATACACCTGTTACATGTGTTGCAAAAATACATAGAGACTATTTTAATTAAAAAAGAAAAATGTTAAAATAAATTGCCAAATATGTATTTATTGTCATCATTGGACAATTGCAGAGGGAAGAATTACCTGACCAAATGAAGCAGCAGCTACAGGTTCTTCAGAGATGTAGCTAAAGATTTTGTCTACAGGACAGCCTAGTTCTTCTTGAATGATCTGCATGGCAACATTTCTGGGAAAAGGGCCTATCTGATCATGGAGTTCAGACAGTGCCTGCAATTATGGCTCAAAGAGAAAAATACCAAAATAGATCATGTTTCCGTAATTTTATGCCTATTGCTGGATAGTGTACAAACAACTTTGAATAGAAGTCAAAGAAAGAACACTGTAACTTAAGGAATAATTAAATACAGAGTTTAGTTTCTAAGAGTGATACACAACCTTAATGGTATAAAAAGGTCAATATTAATCAATACCTAAAAAGTACATATTAAAACAGTATAGAGAAAGAAAGTAACTCATTTAACAAACATAGAAAGAAATGAAAAAAAATAATATGAATAATATAACTATAGAAGAATGAGAAGAAAAAGATAATACAGAAGAAAAAGGAATTAGTACATCATGATTTTATTCAAACCTATTAGCAATTAATTTTCCCTTTATGAATCATCTAAGTAGATTCACTAAAGAAAGAAGCAAATTCATGCATACCAAAAGAAAGAAGTTATACTGCACAGTTATGCAAGGTGTCAAAGAAATTAAAAATAAGCTCCAAGGAAAATCTGGAATCTAACCTTGGTAATCTCTGGACCGATGATATCTGGCCTTGTAGAAAGGGACTGACCAACTGCATTGGCAAGCAAAGACATGTAAGTAGCATATAAGACCTGTAGTAACTAATGGACCATGTAAGCAGCACAAGTATGGCCAAGCAAGGAGCATCTAGGCGACTTAGAGAATGGAAAAACACCTTGCTTTATGGGCAGTTTATCAGACAACTAAGTAACCAGGGAACAGTTTTTCTAAATTTAAAACTGTTGAAGATTAATCAGTTTTATGATGTTTTTCTGAATAGATGTTTTATGTTAGTTGTTAGATAGGAGGTGGGGACCACAGTAGTTATGTGAGTCCAAATTTTATTATGTTTTTGAGTGTTATATATGCTGCTTATGTTTTGCCGCCCTATAAGGGCATAGTTGTCTTTGTATTGCTCCATTATTTTTAGTATAAATAATAAGTGAAGGGGGCGGCTAGATGATTGTTCTCTTTTCTTTTCAACTTCTCTTCTTCTCCTTCTCTCTTCCTTCTCTCTTCCTTCTCTGTTCAAGAAACTACTGTTCTTTCATATTTTTTAATTCAGCAGATTTCTACTTGGTATCAGAGCATCGGCTAGGGTTTCTTGAAGCATTYTCATGCAGCCCTAGATCAGCCGACTGCATGAAGTAGTAAAGGGCTGATCGATCTGCTATAGATTGCCCAGTTCTTGGATTTTTTGGTGGGATCTAGTCATCAGAAAGGTGATCTACTGTTCGGCATCAAAATCAGGAAGAACTAGAGTACAGGGAAGAGTCCCAAAAAAGTTGGACTCTTTGTTTTTGATCTAATCTTGGGCGCCCAGGTATTGTTAGTTTTCTTTTGATTTTTTGAAGAGGGAGGTTTGGTTTCTAGAATTTTCTGAGCCTCCCGGAGTGATCAATTCACTCCTCTCTGTTGGGAGGCGTGGAGAGGAGAGAGATTTCTCTCCAGCTAGGGTTTTCTTCTTCCGGAAGGGTTGGTTTCTATGTGTGTGATATTAAATTATTTTTTGAAGGTCTCCAATCTATTTTTTCTTACTGTTGAACTATTTGAAGTAAGATGGAGAGTTGGAATACCGAGATGAAATCTACCGGTACTGTGGGACTGGGTGTTGGAGGGGGTAGTGATATCTTTGGATCTGGGATCATTACTACAGTAAAACTTGACGGTACAAATTATTTGGAGTGGGCACAATCAGCTAAGATGGCTATTGGTGCCCGTGGAAAATTAGGGTATCTCCTGGGGAGGAGAAGAAACCTGATACAGACTCTTCCCGATGGGTGCAGGAGAATTACATGGTAATGTCATGGTTGTGTAATTCTATGTTATCTCATATTGCAACAAATTTCCTATGGGCTAATACTGCTAAGGAGATTTGGGATGGAGTGACTGAAACCTACTCTCAGAAGCAAAATGAAACTAGAACCTATCGGTTAAGAAATCAGGTGATAAGTATGAAATAGGGAGAAAAACCTCTTGCTATGTATTTCTCCATGCTGAAAACCCTATGGTAGGAAATAAATCACTTAGAAACTGTAGTATGGGAAAGTGTAAATGATGAAGCAACTTATCACAGACTGGTAGAGAGGAATAGGGTTTTGAGTTCTTGCCAGGGCTGAACCTTGAATTTGACATTGCTAGGCAGCATATTCTTTCTAGGGAGGGTGCAACACTCTCTCAGGCCTATGCCTTTGTCTCTAGAGAAGAGAGTAGGAGGAATGTAATGCTGAGACAGCCTGGGATTGACCAATCGGCTATGGTTGGTACAACAAAACTTAAGCCAAATGGAGACAAGGGGAGTAGTGAGACTAGAAGGGAAGATAAGAAGGACTTGGTGTGTGATTATTGCAAGAAGCCTAAGCATACTAGGGACACTTGTTGGAAGCTTCATCCAAATCTTATGCCTGGTTGGATAAGAAACAAGAAGGTAAATGCAAATGTAACCACTATAGGAGACTCTTCGGCCCCTCTTTCCCAAACTGATTGGGAATTCGTTGCAGTAACAACAGTGAGAACATAATTGGAGAGGTTTGGACAGCTTATGAGTAAGAAAGATTCACCTAGCTCTAGCCTTCCAAATGGACAGTAGAATGTAGGAGCCAACTATACTACTTCCTTTGCACATACAAGTAGTTCATATGCAACTGCAAATCTTGCATCTACTTCAAGTAAGGAGGGACCTCCCTAGATTATAGACTCAGGAGCACCTGAGCACATGACTAATGCCCCTACCCTTTTCAGTTCATATCAGTTGTGCTCTAGTAGAGACTGTCTCTACAGCAGATGGTTCACATATGCCCATTGCTGGGAAGGGGACAGTAGAGTGACCAATGATATAACTTTGTCTTCTGTTTTACATGTTCCTAGACTTCATACCATCCTACTATCTGTTAGTTCTTTGACAAAAAAATTGAATTGCTCTATGACCTTTCTTCCTGGTAATTGTGTTTTGCAAGATTTGGAGTCAAAGAAGATGATTGGGAGTGGTCGTAAGGTGAATGGAGTCTACCTTCTAGATGGGATTCCAAGACATCAGGGCCATCAAGTTAGTAGCAGCAGTAGTAGTGGGTCAAAGTCAGTGAACCAGATTATGCTTTGTCACAATCGCTTGGGACATCTTTCTTTTAGTTCTTTGAAATGTCTTTTCCCAAAGTTGTTTGAGTTTGTTCAGATATCTACTTTGGAGTGTAAGAGTTGTCAGTTAAGAAAGCATTGTAGACAATCTTTTAAACCAAGTAATAAAAGAAGTACTTCTGCTTTTAATATTGTTCATACTGATGTATAGGGGCCATATCATATTCCATGAGAGGATTCCGTTACTTTCTCTTGTTTGTGGATGATTATACACGATATTCTTGGATATATTTGATGAAATTACATGATGAGGTTCCTAACTTGGTACGGCAGTTCCACCAGATGGTTCTCACACAATTTGGAGTGAGAACTAAGGCTTTTAGATCAAATAATGCCAGAGAGTACTTTGAGAAGGACCTAACCACATATCTCTTAGAACATGGTGTAGTTTATCAAAGCAATTATGCATATACACTGCAACAGAATGGAGTTGCTGAGAGGAAAAACAAACACATTGTGGAGGTGGCAAGGAGTCTTATGGTGTGTGCTTCAGTTCCTGTGCAGTTCTGGAGAGATGCAGTTCTTACAGCTGTGCATTTGATTAACCGTGTTCCTTCAGGGACCTTGGGGTTTAAGGTGTCATTTAGTCTTCTTTTTCCAGATGGGGAGATATTTCATATACTTCTGAGGGTTTTTGGTTGTGTTTCCTTTGTTCACATTCTTAGCCCTCATCGCAAGAAATTGGATCCTAAGGCCAAGAAATGTGTTTTTCTTGGGTATGCTCAGAACCAAAAGGGGTATTGCTGTTATGACCCAGTGTCGATGAGCAGATTTGTCACTATGGATGTTGCCTTCTTTGAATCCACCCTCTTCTTCTCAAGTGGTTCTCCTCAAGGGGAGAGTTTTAGGGAGGAGAACTCACAATCTGTTCCTCTTCCTTTTTCTTTGGTGCCCCCATCAATTCAGCTAGCACCTCCATCAATTCAACCAGCACCTCCATCAGTTCAGCCAGCACCTGCACCTCCAGTTTCATTACCTGAGCCACTACAGGTAGCCTCACAGAAATATCAGCGCCGACAGATGATGGTTGACTCCACACATCCTCAACCCACACCACTCTCTGTCAGTCCTTCTGAAACTC